ATATTAGTAAATACTTTCTGTCTTGTTTGATACTCATTGTTTGAGCAAAAATGTTTATTTTTTTATTTTATTTTATTTTTTATTTACGAGGGGTCGCAGCAGCAGAGGTCATTTCAACCCTCGGGGTGCCGGTGTTTTTGAAAAAAGCTCATTTGTAAGTATGTTGGGTTCGAATGCAAGGCCGCTGGATTCGAACCCGGGACCTTTACCTTACAGTGATGAGCGGCCACCGATGGAAATTCTATTGGAAATTCCTAAGTTAAACGATAAATCATTATAATCCTCATACATTTCTGATTTACCAATTTGAAAAATATATTTTCGGTTGTCTCAATATTGTCGACTCTATAGTCAGTTTCTTAGGATAATTTTTTGTCTTTGATTAAACCTCACACTGAAGATGGCGAAATGCAGAAACGCAAATGTGCGAGGATGATGGGAAACGATCGAACCCAATAAAAATCATTCATTGCTATAATTTGCTTATAAGTAACGAAAAGTAAAGATTTGATTGGCAGTTGGTTAATTGTAGAAGTGGATCAAGGATGTGGCCATACGTAGTTCATTAGCTGTTTTCATTCCGTTATTCAATTAATTATTGATTACTGCGTCTTAACATATGTTAAGTACGTTGACAAATAACCATACTGGACGATGAGTGTTGAAATGACTATCGGCCAATTTAATCGTCTCGAGGCCTTTTTGTTTTCGTTCCTCGGACAGCATTAGAAGATGGATATCTTAAATAACCGATCGGGTCTAGAAGGGAAATGAAAGGGATGAGACTTCCTGTCCGGGGGGGTCTTATCGATCCCCCGTCCAGCTGACCCTGCCCGCCGACACTAGACGAAGACGTCCATCACGTCGATCTCCTTCCCAGGACGGCACATTGCGACGGTCGAGCCCCGGTGCAGGGCACTAGTGCTCTCGGTGCCGGTGGTGCTAGCTATGGGAGAGCCGGCGAATGACGCAACCGTCGTTCTTTGTTCCCCGTTTCAAGGTCTACATCCCCCTACTCCCGGCTCATCTTTTTTCCCCCTGGCCCATGCTAAACTCTCTTTCCTCTCGGAAACTCTCACGTCTCGTTGTATTTTCTATATTTTGAATATACAGAACTGGGCGGTTGAAAGGACGGTCGCCGGTGGGACGCGAGACCGCGGACTAGTCGGGTGTAATTTTGGACGCGAAGGAGAGCGGCAGCTGTGCCCTCCAGACATCTGTCCCCACTTTCCCATCCCGGGTCTAAATATAGACCGGACCCAGTGCCTGCCTCTGCTCTAGCCCACCTTTGTCTTCCACGCCGCTCCAAAAACTACGCCTCCTCCTTCCTTTTCCACTTTTGTCTTTATAACTGTGAACGCCGTAATGGCAACAGCACCACAAGGGCAGAAAAACACATGCCGACCGCGAGGGCGTTTCTCTCTCCCTGCTTCAGTACTTTCTCATCACTACCTGTTCCTTTTTTCGTCACGTGGTCCTTTTTTGTTTGTAAAGATCCCCTTAAGCCTAAGACGCTGCCAGTTTCGATTAAAAATTAACAGCAAAATCTAGATTTCTAAGAATCTTTATTGCTACCTACATGGCGTGTAAAAGAAACAAAACCACACCCAAATAAATATTTAAAAAACTTGACCACCCCAAAAAAGACATGGCTATTGAATCGAAAGGTAATTACTGAGCCTTTTATAAAGAAAATAGAGTAAAAATTATATACGAAACCAAATGATTTTTTAAAATATAAAAAATATTATGCCATAAAAAATCACATTTCTCAAATTAAAAGAACCCTCAATTCGTATATTTTATTAACCTTTTTTCAATTTCAAATTAACACTCTTTTGTTAAATTAACCTCTTGAACTTCAAATTCCAAAGGAGCATTCTTTTTTCAAATTCGAAATCTTTAAAGCATCGAAGAAACATATATTATTTATTAGATTATTATTAATATAGATATTTAATTAATGAGATTTATTATTATTATATAGCATTAAATGTGACTAATGATTTTCCTTTAATTTTAGATTTTTTTATGAAAAAGGATTACTCATAAAAAACATTTTAAAATTAATTATTCCGAAATCATGAAATGCGGTCTGGTGTGATGTAGGTTTCAGAAAAACATTTTTTTTATCGTGCCAACGTTTCGATCTTTATTGAGATCATCTTCAGGGCCTGGGATTTACAAATGATTGAAAATAAAAAATATATTTTGCATTGTATAAATTCACTTTTCCACGTCCTACATGTATTTGTTAAATTTAAACAATGTTTGTTAATCCCAGGCCCTGAAGATTTCGAAATAATTAGCGACTAACGGTCACTAATCACTACACATTTTAAAAATATAAAATTTACAATGTTTTTTTTTTTAATAATTGGTTACTTAAAAAACCCTATGTTTCACTTTTCTCAAATCAAAGGAAGAATCCTTATTACATTTTTTTTAATTAATCACAATTAAAATAATATAAAATTTACAAAATTTTATTCGTTTGATTTGAGTTTTTTAAAATAAAATAATTGGTTACTTAAAAACCCCTATATCTCACATTTCTCAAATCAAAGGAAGATTCCTTATTACATTTTTTTAAATTAATCACAATTTAAAATTACACAAAATTCAATAAAAAACGCAAAATATTTATTCGTTTAATTTGAGTTTTAAATATAAAATAATTTTGTACTTAAATACCCCTATTCTCGCATTTTTCACATCAAAAGAAAGATCCTTATTTTTTTAAATTAATTATAATTAAAATTATATAAAATTAATTATAAAAACAACCGAATATTTATTCGTTTAATTGGAGTTTTGTTTTAAATAAAATAATTGGGTAGTAATAAAAACCCATATTTCTCAGATGAAAAGTGCAATCCGTATTTATTTATTTTTATGTAATTACAATTAAAATTATATAAAATTAATTATAAAAAACAAAATGTTTATTATTTAATTTGACTTTTGTTTTAAATAAAATAATTGAGTACTTAAAAACCCCTATTTCTCTAATGAAAAGAAGAATCCTTATTTATTTATAGAATCATTACTTTTTTTAATAAATCACAATTAAAATTACATAAAATTAATTAAAAAACAGTATTTTTCGTTTAATTTGCGATTTTTTTTATATAAAATAATTGTGTACTTAAATATCCCTAGTTCTGACATTTCTGAAATCAAAAGAAGGATCTTTTTTTAACGAGGGTTCGCAACTGCAGAGGGTTGATTGATTGCTGTTGCGAATCCTCGTTTTAAAAAAATACGATAAAAAAATATATACAAAATTTTTTTAAGGATTCTTCTTTTAATTTGAGCATTGTGAGAAATTGGGTTTTTTACGAACCCAGTTATTTTATAAAAAAAAATTAAACGAATAAATATTTTGTTTTCATATTTATTTTTATATAATTTTAATTATGATTAATTTTCAACGGCCTTCTAAAGAACCCGATTTTTTTCGTCAAATGTAGAATTTTTTCTTTACGTGCTTTATTTCGCGTCATCTCCTTTGGTGTTTTAAAAAGGTTTGTTTTATTTATTTATTTTTTTAGTTAAAAAGGGGTGATTGGAAGGTAAACAAACGTTAATTTTAAAATAAAAGGATTCAATTAATTAAGGTTTTTTAAGTTGAGATAAAAAGTCAGTGTCACGAGCGGGATTCGAACCCCCCGCCGGGAAAATTCAAAAGGTGGGTTTGAGATGGGAAGTTAGTGCCCGAGGTGATCGAAGTCACGATAGCTCAAGTAGTAGAGCAGCGGCGTATCTAGCCGAAGATCGTGGGTTCGAATCCCGCTCGTGACACTGACTTTTTATCTCATCTTAAAAACCTTAATGAATTGAATGTTATTAATTGGTCAAGCGGACCTCGAAAAATAGTGAATTTAAAATAAAAGGGTTAATTTGCATCTAAAAATTCATTTTACGGGGAAAAAACTATAACTGACATAAAATAGGTTTAATATTAATTAATGGTGCTTATTAAGTTTCCACTGCTTGAGTAGGTTCTACAGACCGAGCGGGACTTACACGTTGCTTTCCTGCTATGTTAATTATCTTAATTAAAATAAAAATATTTAATACGTCTAATTAATAAAAAATCAAGTTTCTTTTCAAAAGTAATTAAGTTGTGCGTTTGTTTACGTTTACGCTGCTTGAGCAGGTTCTGAAGACAGACTAGGACTTAGGACTTAATACGTTGATCTCCTGATATATCAATTGCCCTAATTAAAAAAGAAAAATATTGAGATACCTAACTTTTACTTTTTGAAGTTAGTTTTAAAACGAAATAAGTTTTGCGTTTGGATGATTATAACATGGGAGAAATTTTGTCGTGTTGTATGCAAGATAAGATGATGCTCCTGAAATTTGGTCATTGCTGTTCGTTTTTGGTTTACCCAATCTGGGTAGAGTCTATAATATATAGTCATAAAGCATCGCATTAAAAATAGTCTCCACGGCACCGGAACTTCATGCGCGTCATTTTACCCACGTGCACGCCCGGTATCGTGCATCGCCTTTTTTTTTCGAATTCGATTTCTATTTCGGGGAAATTCGAGAGGACCAGTTTTCGACGGTGATTGCATGTCGATGCCCGGGTACGAGTCAGGTGCAAGACGCAAAAGAGAAAACGTGGGGAACAATTTGCCGAGGAGGGCCGCCTGGCCCTTCCTTCACCTGCTGCACCAGATGTCTCGCCTTCTGTTCAATATCTCCCCTTGTCCCACTTGTCGGAAATCCTTAAACTACAAGATACGCAGTTCTATAACAAACACGTTTTTTAAATATTTCCCGAGTTCAAATTTGACATTTTCCCCAACTCTGTAAATTGCCGAATTATTTTGAAGACAGAGCATGAAATCTACCCAGCCTGAAAGTGTACATAAACGATTTTTTTTACGTGTATCAAATAAAATATACTAAATCATATTTATGAAAAAATAATTTTTACTCTTTATTTTATATACTTAACCAATTAATATAATTTTAATGTGTTTCAGGCTGCAATCTTACAACAAACTGCGGAGTACATATACCAACTAGAACAAGAAAAGACAAGACTTCTGTCGCAGAACTGCCACCTCAAGAGACTACTTAACCAACATGAAGGCGAAGCTTCTGCAAACAAAAAGAGAAAAACTGATTCAGGTAAGGACTGAATTTTTTTTTTACACAATGTAAAAGGGGAAAATCCAGTGAGACTTGTCTTGTTACCCTGTTTCGAACCAAACCGCCGATCCTGTCTGTCATCCTCCTTCCTCAATGCCGCGGAGGCTGACTAGAGAATTAATTGTGTTATAGGTTTGGTGGTTACAGTGAGCAATCCGATTTGTGAATCTGGGGACGAGGGAGCCGATATCGTAGCAGTCGCTCAACCCACCATTACACCAAGTAGGAACCATACCACTGGGGCAAAAAAAGAATCCCTCGAAAATTCTCTCGTCCCCATAATCTTAAATTCCTTTCTGTTGATAAAAATTGTATTGAATTGGTTTTTTTTCTTCGTTATTTTGACAGATCTTGAAGTCGATACCAATGTCGTCTCTGGGGCGACGAATGATTTGATAGATGTGAGGGTGCAGCTGGACAGGGAGAGGCGACTGCGGATGATCCTCGAAGAGCAAGTCAGGTCCCTCGAATCTCAACTGTATCCTGAACGGATCAGGGAAATAACTCAGCAAGTACAGCTCCAGTACCAGCAGAGAGAGGAAGTAAGTCAAATTTTTTTTTTCTTCCTGTTTTAATTTAAAAAAAAAAAAACCTGTCATGCAGTACGGCTTTATCGCCCAGCTACCCATTGGATGTCATGGACGATGTACCAATTTTTGAAAATAAAATAATTTTTTTTCATATTATGTTTTATATAATTCACTAATTTTGTGGTCCGCTTGACCAATTAATACATTATAATTAATTAAGGTTTTTAGTTGAGATGAAAAAAAGTTAATGGCACGAGCAGGATTCGAACCCACGATTTTCAGCTAGATACGCCGCTGCTCTACCACTTGAGCTATCGTGACCTCGATCCACTCGGGCATCAACTTCCTATCTCAACCCCACCTTATGAGTTTTCCCTCCTTTTTGCCATTTTTCAAATTTCGTGTAATCGGATTGGATTCTCGACGACAAATGAAATGGCCACAGAGAGCTTTAGTGAAGTGTACTTCATTTTAATTCATTAAATTCATTAATTTCGTGGTCCGCTTGAACAATTAATTAAGGCTTTTAGTTGAGATGAAAAAGCTCTCCGTGGCCATTTCATTTGTCGTTGAGAATCCAATCCGATTACAGGAAATTTGAAAAATGGCAAAAAGGAGGGAAAACTCATAAGGTGGGGTTGAGATAGGAGGTTAGTGTCCGAGTGGTTCGAGGTCACAATAGCTCAAGTGGTAGAGCAGCGGCATATCTAGCCGAAGATCGTGGGTGTGAATCCCACTCGTGCCATTAACTTTTTTTCACCTCAACTAAAAACCTTAATTAATTGTAATGTTTTATATAATATTTATAATAATCATATATTATTTAATTAAATTATTGGTGTTAAATCAGAAATAAAAGATTTTTGTTAGTTAATTATTATTGAATTATTATAAATTATTATTATTTAATTACATAATATTAATAAAATATAATAATTTTAATTAATTGTTCTTTTTATCTAAAGTTTTGGGTGAGATGAAAAAATCATGCCAAGCCCCCCCCTAATTTTATTTCCAGTTTAGTTACATTTTGGCAAATTTTTAGGAAGAGAATGGAGCTGTGATAACGCCGATGCGACGAGAAGTTTTGAACGGCTCGGCAGAGACGGTGGCGGCAGTTGCAAATCTGCAGGTCGTCTCTGCAAACTCCCTCCAGCCTGTGGCTCACACCGAAACGGTGATCGCTACGGTGACCAACTCCCCGCCTAACTCGCCTTCTTCGAGGCTGCCTTCGATCCTAGAAGCCGCGATCAAGGCAGAACCGAAGGTCGAGGTCGAAAGACTGCCCTCACCACATGCAGTCGCTACCACTCAAGAAGAGCGAATGTCCCAAGCGAGGTAAGTTTTCTTATTTATTAACTTATCAATTGTCAAAATTAACAATTTGTCGATTTTCAGGGTTTATCTTGCTTCGACATCGCGCCAGAACCTCGAGACGATCGTTGAAGCAATACGCCACTTGGAGGGCGACAACCTGTTCAGCGATAGCGTGAACGAAGGCGGGTCGGAGGGCGTGGGCGACGAGCCGCAAGAGGCGCCGCTCGCGCTCACGAAGCACACCTCTCCCGAGAAACAGCAGTTGATTAAAGTCAAGATGAACCAGTACCTTCAATTCCAACAACAGCAGAGGCCTGGCGTCATCGTAGTCAAACAGCATACGTGATCCGATCACTAAGCCAAACTTCCTGTTCCCAACATCCTCTAGACAATTCCAACCTTTCTTCGTTTTGAGCCAAGCTGAAAGATTTTGCATACAAAACACTTGGTTTAGCTTAAGTGGAGTTACACGGTTAAATGTAATGTGTATTATACTTTTTTCTTTTATTATAAAAATGTGTTATTTTCATTGTATTTTGCACATACCTTGGAATCCTTTGAATTAGCAAACTCAGGCATTAGTGAACATCTATTACTCTGAAATAGTTTTTTTCCTAGTATTTTTATTATTTTTTTCATTATCTCCCACTGTCACTCTTTACGATTCACTTTTTTAAAAAAAGTTCTGGAACTCCATTGGAAATCATTATAAAGTATATACAGTTTTATAAAAAAAAATCTTGTGTATTGTTTTATTAATTATAATTAATACGTTTGTTTTTAAGCAAGATTTTCAGCATGTCGAATGAAGATAAAACTTTAAAAAGATGTTTCATTATTGACATTAAATAAATAAAAGTGAAAAAAAAATAATAAAAGACTTTGTTTTATACATTGTATTTTCTTTTTTTTCTTTCTTAAAAAAAATGTTATTAGAAGTAAAACTTCTTATAGATGTACACTAATTAAGGATTGTTCTAAATTTAAAATTTGTTAAACCGAAGATAAAAAAAAAATTAATTAGGATTCAAATTTTTTCTTTGTAAATTGACAATTATATATTTGTAATCCATTAATTAGTCAATTTTTGTTTGATTTGTATAAATATATATGTAATAAAAGAAGGAAATTTGTTAGGGGTTGATTGGCTTAGGGAAATTGTGTAGTGGGCTTTGATACCTTGATTAGTGATCACTGGGTCCAAGTAAAGTCGCATGATCATTCTGACTAGGTTCGCCTGAGCTACACTTCCCGCATTCGGCGTCTTTTGTTACAAGATAACATCGGACGGCCGAATAAATAGGCAGTTGTGCATTTTTTTTATTTTATTTTTTTTTAAGAAAATATTTTTTACGTGTAAACGAATATATTATTTTTCTTTTAGAAAAATTCAGAGAAGAGGGAAAAGGGTCGTTTTCGAACGGCCCTCGTCTCCTGTTGTTATTGTTAGGGACGGGTTGTTGGTTTTCTTGATCTGTAAACTAACAAACCGCCCGCTGTGAACTTGTTATTTGAGATCAGACTGTTGCATAAAGACTTCTTTGTGTTATATTTTCTTTGTTTGTATTTTTTAGTTCTATCAGATGTAAAATGTTTTTAAGCGATTTCAGTTTGCAAAGCACTATGGATTTGGCTATTTCCATGGTCCCCATTCCTATTAATTAAAAAAAAAAACCTATGTGTGTGTTTTCTTTGCAAGGGATATAGTTGCACAATTTAAAAAAAATATATACATAAAAATTTTAAAAATTGTCTATATAAATATATATTTTGGGTTTAAAATTAAAATATGGAAGAAATCGCAAAATAATGTAAACTTCTATAGAGTGATTGAGGAATGTGTGATCTACCCCTAGCTTAATGTTGTGGATATGTATACGTACAATTAAAAATTCAGTAGTGTATTAGATTAGTAATTTGAACAGAAAAAAGTTATGCAAAGCATAAAAAAAAAAGAAAAAAAAAGCATTTGTTTTTTAAAGCCAGGTGAGTAAAACGCCCTACCAAAATTATTTATTATTTAACTTAGACGAATCTTTTTTTTTCTTTTTTTTACAATTTGTAAAAAAAAATGTTAACCTTTTTTTGTGTTTTCTGTTAATTGATTGGGAGATTTATGTAAACGATGGAATGTGATCAAGGGTGACTGAGACATGCATGGATGGATTTCTTTTGTGAAACGAACCGATTTTTTCCCCCCTCTCTCTAATCTAATTAGTTTTTAATTAATAAGCACTGCGATAAATTTGGTGCACGGTCAGTTTTTCTTTTTGTAAAAATGTAACTTCTTAAAGGCGAAATCTACCCTGTTAATTGAATTATATTTTAAAATTTAAACATAAGCATTAAATAGTATTGGTTTATAGAGGAAGGGAAAGTTTTTTACAACTTTAAAATTTAAAAAAAAAATCGGAAAATTAGACTTATAGTACCATAATATAGGTGAAACTAGGGAAAATTTTAGGCTTAAAAGAAGAAAAAATTAGCTAATTGGTTGAATTGTGTTTAAACAACTAGATTGTTACTTAATTTTCATATAAATTGCACAAATTTAAAAAAACAAAAATAAACCAATACCAACTTCTTAATTGAACTAAAACAAATTGTTGGCAAAATTGACGCTCCGTTTACGAGAAGACAAAAATTTTCCTTGTTATTGTCAGCCTGGATATATTAAAAAAAAAAAAAAGAAATTGTGTGATTGATTCTTGAATTTTTTTTCTGTTTTGGGAGTACGCCAGAGATCTCTTCGTTTGACTAAATGTAAATTTTGTGAGAGAATGCGCTGTAATATAGACGCTTTCTGTTGACAAAATGGCAAATATAAACATGAGTTTTTAACAAGTGTAAATCCTAAGAAGAAAAAATTTAAATGGCTAAATTTTATAATTTTTCGTTTAAAATATATGATCAAAAAAAGTTCCTTTTACAATTACAAAAAAAAAATGATTTTGCATTTTGTTATTTCATATCACAATTGTTTGTTTTTTATACAATTAAATAATTTAAAAAAAAAAGGTAAAACTTGTAGCGTCTAAGTTTAGATTTTTGTATTAGCACTAGCATAATATAATTATTATATTATTTCACAAATTTGCTTGTTTTTGACTTATTCGATCAGTTTTTTTTTTCTTTTTTTTACCAATTTTCATTAATAGTTAATTGTTTAAAGAAAATTGTAAATATGTTATACGGACTACTTAATGTGGACAGAAGTTCTTTCGCTCTCATTTATACACAAAGAAAAAATATATATTATATACATAATAATCTACGCAGTAATATATAATATATTTACACAAGCGAGCGAAAATCATCGGTAACGCCAAGATTTTCATTCGTTTGTAGGTTAAATATACAAGTATGGGTTACAAAGTATTTCATTTGTTTGAAAGGAAAAAGAAAAAAAAAGTGAAGGAAAAAAATACTCACTATTATCTCCTAAATCTAAATAATAGTTGTAGCACCTACAAATTTGTTTAAATTGCAATTAACAAATTGAGTTTTTATTTGGACTTTATACATATTTTTTACCAAACAAAAAAAAAGATTTTTTATGTAGATTTAATACAATCTCAATATTTATAATAAAAATAAAATATATATTTAAAAAAAAAAAATTAAAAAACTATTAAATATTGCTCAAACTCTAATTTGAATTCTGAATGTCATTAAATTTTTTTGTAAGTGTTGCAGTTTGGCTAAAAGGGGAAAATCAGTCGGCTGAGTCGGTAAACAATTTCAGGCGAAAAATTCCAGCCTTTATATACAATTTTATAGTTTTTTTGGAAGAAGGCACTTGTTGAAATTTAGAGCACGTCGACTAAAAGGGAAAAAAAAAGAAAATACATATTGTACAAAATTAGCCAAACTACAACAATTTTATACTCTTGTATGTTTCACTGGTCTTATAAAAATTTAACAACTGTACAAAGGCTATATATAAGTATCTAGATTTTTCTATTAAAATAAAAACCAAACAGTTATATACATAAATGAATTTCTTCCAAGGTATGATTGTCACTCGTTTTTTATTATTTTTTATTTTTATGTATATAAACAATCTTTTAACATTTAGGCCTAGCAGATTTAACTTTTTGATTTTCCTTGTGAAACAACATAATGTCAAAGCATTGTATATTTATTTAGCATTGTTTTTAACAATACATTTTAAACTATGAGGCTTATTGTTTTTAGTGAAAAATTACCCAGATACCCGATAAAATCAATCTAGCCATTGTAATTTAAAGTGAAAGTATGTGATGAATTAAAAGCTCAATTTTAATTTTAAAAAAAAAGAAACATTCAGAAATCATTAGAATTTAACCAAATTTACCTTTTGTCTTATAATTCCCTCAAAAAACAAATACTGTAGATTTATGCGCACTTTCATCATAAACAAAATCTGAAATATGTGTACAAGTTCAACATAACACGGATCGCAGGTTTGTAGGTTAAATTTGTAGGTTAGAAAAGGTGATTAAAATGAAATGAAAGCAGCCTGATTGACAGAGTGGATTCCGCATATTGATAGGTGCCCTTCAGAAGATCTGAATAAACTGATCATACTCATCCAACTAAGAATAGGACATGGAAGGTTGACACACGGACGCCCATTTTTAGGCCAATGCGTATGTCTGCAGCATGAAATGAAAATTTGCTCTGTGTCGCATATAATTTTAGGACAATACTTATATCCCTGACTCTACCTTATTCACCAAAATGTCTGAAGCCATTGAAAAAGATTTGAGAACAAAGCATTGTTTACTGTTTTTTTTACCGATACCTGTAACTAATGTGGAAAGATAATGGATTTAATGTTAAACTAAATAAATTTGTCAATCAATGTATAATAAATATTGTTAAGTCATTTATTGTTAAATTTTTTAATGAAAATAATTTTTTTTAAAGGCTTTATGAACAGAGTACTTAGCTGAGTCGGTTGTTTCAATGTAGTTGGGCGGAAGGGCATCGCGAAAAAAAGGGCCAAAGGCGGCAGTGGGAATCAAGCCCACGTCTATCGTGCTGACCACGTATACAGTGGTCCTCTAAAATGATTATTTGACTTCTTTCATACATTTGTGCAAAATAAAATTATTTCTTCTTACGGAGCTGTCTCCTGATGGAGGTTAGCAGTTATAACAACAGCCGAAGGCCGAGGGTTCAAATCCCGCTCGTACATTAACATTTTCATCTCAACCAAGACCAGATAAAAAGTATAATTAATGATTATTTAGAGGTCGCAAGATGCGGGCTGGTGTGATGTGGCATTTTCAATCTTTAATGAGATCATCTTCAGGGCCTGGGATTTATATTAAATTCACTAATTTCGTGGTCCGCTTGACCAATTAATATATTACAATTAATTAAGGTTTTTAGTTGAGATAAAAAAGTCAATGGCACGAGCAGGATTCGAACCCACGATCTTCGGATTGATACGCCGCTGCTCTACCACTTGAGCTATCGTGACCTCGATCCACTAGTCACCAACCTCCCATCTCAACCACACCTTTTGAATTTTCCCTCTTTTTTTGCCATTTTTCAAATGTCGTGTAATCTATTTGATTCTCGGCGACAAATGAACACGGAGAGCTTTGGTGAAGGTTACTTCATTTCAACTTATTAAATTCACTATTTTTCGTGGTCCGCTTGACCAACTAATATTATTCAATTTATTAAGGTTTTTAGTTGAGATAAAAAAGTCAATGGCACGAGCAGGATTCGAACACTTGATCTATCTTGACTTCGATCCATTTGGACACTAACCTCCCATCTCAACCCCACCTTTTGGATTTTCCTCCTTTTTGCCATTTTGTAATTTATAACAATGTTTATTAGGTATAAAATAATCCCAATAAAGATCGAAACGTTAGCACAATAAAGAAAAATCTTTTAACCAGGATGTTCGTCTTCTTTCCCTTGAGTGTTGTCCACTGATTTTTCCTTGTATAATTTTGTCTCATTATATGGCCAAAATAGGTCAATTTTCTCTTGATAGACAAGTTCTCTTTCTTTTTCTTGCACTTTTTCATTTGAGATTGACGCTTGCAATTTTAGGCATTCTGTGGTAATGCCACAACTCAAATTCATCCAATTTCAATATGTGGGCTTGTCTTATGGTCCATGTTTCTACTCAGTATAACAATATGGAAAATAAAGCACCCGAACCATGCACATTCTCAATAGCAAGTTTAAATTCTTCTGTGAAAATTTTCCTTTCATTTTACAAATGTCACCCTTGCCATTTGAATCATTTGATTAATTTGTCTGAATGCACATCCCTAAGTATTGGTATGTTCGCACTTGATTTATTACATCGTTATTTATAACTGTGTTTGCAGTATTTTTGTTGAATGTCTTACTAACATAATTTACTTTTCTTAAAATTTATTTTTAATCCATAATCTAGACGTTTTATTCACAGCTTCTAGCATTCTAGTGAAAATATCATAGCAACATTAGCAAATCACCTGTTGTTTATGTTTGTGACCATTTATGCAGTTTCTGAGACAGTTTCAGGAAAAATGCATTCAGCATACATATTGAATAGGACAGGTGACAAAATACATCCTTGGCTTACTCCTCCCATGATTTCAATTTCCTCAGATACTTGTCCACCTGTACTTATTTTCCCTTTTTGATTGTTGTCCAACGATTTTTGTATCTTTTTCATTTCATTACATGGCCAAAATAGCTCAATTTTCTCTGATGAAGATGATATATATTAATGATAGTTAATGTATATGCTTTTATCCTTTAAAATATCTACGAATGTCTAACTTTTGCCTCAAAAACTTCTGCAAAAAGAAATCTTGCACGCACAACTCTCTTTCAAACATTAGCAGGCATTCGATGGTATAACAGTTTGGGAAAAGGCCTAAATCTCATTATAAATTCCAATAAATTTGAGAAAGCTGAAAAGTGCTCTTCGAAAGAAACACTGGGGACCCAGTAACTCCTGTAAATCACTCGAAAGGTTGAGCCTTTGCCTAAAGGGTTGTAAAGTGGGACAGTCGACAAAAATATGTTTTACTGTCAAAATGATGCATTTCGCATACATCGAGGACAAGTTGGAAGGTTGTTGCCTATTAAAAGCCTATTATGCATTAGCCAGATATGACCTATTCGCAATCTAGAGAGAATCACAAGTTCTTTTCTCTCAAGTTCCTCAGTTGGCCATTTATGTACAACTGGCTTAATTTCTTTCATACTGTCTCTACAGACATTCCATCTTGCCGGCCACTTTCGTTTGATAATGTTTTTAACATAAACGACTATCATCTGGACGGAGAGGAAATTGATCTGTTCTTTGTGGATGGTTTGCAGCGTTTCTTGCATATTGATCAGCTTTTTCATTTCCAGAAATGCCGACATGACTAGGAACCCAAAACAAATACCACATGCTTGTTAAGTGTTCTGATTTCATAGAGATATTTGTGCATTGCTAAGATATATGGGTCAACCGAGAAATTTTTGATTTCTTCGAGACCACTTTTCGAATCAGAGCAAATAATGGCATTACAAATTCCTTGCGATTCCTTTATAATGCTCAATAATCTGATTGCATAAAGTTCAGTTGTGTATACTCTAGCCTCATTCGGTAGAGACCAGCTGAGGTTATACTCATGAGCAAATATCCCACACCCTACACCAATTTCATTTTTAGACCCATCGGGATAAAAAACTTTGTAATTCTGCCTTGATCATCAGAGAAGGTGTTTCTCTTTTGTTCAATAAGGCATTATATGTGTAATTGATGTAAATGTTCTTACATTTCTTTCATTTATTTATTTACGGATCGAAATCCACTATACAAAATGACAGTAAAACATATTTTGGCCGACTGTCCCACTTTACAACCCTTTAGGCAAAGGCTCAACCTTTCGAGTGATTCACAGGAGTGGGTCCTCGGTGTTTCTTTTGAAGAGCACTTTTCAGCTTTCTCAAATTTATTGGAATTTATAATGAGATTTAGGCCTTTTCCCAAATTGTTATACCATCGAATGCCTGCTAATGTTTGAATAAAAGTTGTGCGTGCAAGATTTCTTTTTTCAGAGGTTTTTGAGGCTGCCGGAGCGGAAAAATGAAATGGAAGAAAATACAAATTGCGGGGGAATAAACTGCAATGCC